GGAAAGTACATATATAAAAATTAAAAATGGAATTAAAGAAGTCATATAACTGAATTTCAAATATCTTTTCAAACAACTTTGAAAAAAATGGTAAAACACTGACTGGTCTGTAGTTTGATTTCAGTAATAGGTTGTTCTTTTTATGTAAGGGTGTAACTTGGGCTTCTTTAAGTCAATTTGGAAATATGCCTGTCACATGCCTGTGTCTACAGTCAAATTAATATCAGCTGAGGTGCAACGACAGATCTACTTGCTTTTACTATTTTTGCTGGTATCCCATCTGCTCCTGTTGCTTTTTTCACATTTACTTTATTTATGATTTTTTCCACTTTTTCTGGTGTCACCATTTGAAATTCAAATTTTGTATCTGTTTTCAAGTGATTTTGTTCATGTATGGCATTTATACTTTGATGGTTTGATGAATCATATATCACATCATTTCCTATTTTCTCAGCAACAGTAGCAAATAATTTATTAAAGACATCTGATACATGTACTTCTATTGAATTTTTTATACAACCGCAAAAAAATTTTTGCGTTCGTATAATGCTATCATTTCGTCGTCAGTGTCGTTGTCTTCCGAAAACACATTTGGTTTCCGGACAATAACTTACGTTTAAGTGAATGGATCTCTATGAAATTTTACCAGAAGGCTCAATACCACAAATGGAAGGTTGGGTTTGATTTTGGGGGTTATGGTACCAACAGTTTAGGTTAAAAAAAAGCATTTTTATAGTTTCCGGACAATAACTTGTGTGTAAGTGTATGGATCTCTCTGAAATTGTACCACAAGGTTTCATATCACAAAGGAAGGCTGGGATTGAGTTTGGGGGTAATTGACCCAAACATTTAGGAATTAGGTGCAAAAAAGGGGCCAAAAACAAGCATTTTTCTAGTTTCCAGACAATAACTTGTGTTTAATTATATAAGTGTATGGATCTCTCTAAAATTGTACTACAAGGTTTCATACCACAAAGGGAAGGCTGGGATTGAGTTTTGGGGTAATTACTCCAAGAATATGCAGAATATGTTAAAGAACATGTGAAAATGAAAGTCCCTATATGTTAACCTTGTTCACTCTGGATCAGTTTCTGCTTGTGTATTAATCACCATGTAACTTAAATAAAGTGGTGTAGTTGGTCTTTCAAGTACAAAACTGGCAGTTATGTGTAAACAAACCAGACCCAAATTAAAAGAAAGGAATTGTGTATATACCAAATAAAACAGCAATCTCATATTTACTTAAATGAAATTTATTAAAGATAGCGGTGAATTACCATCTTGATTTGTGACATGTCTCAATTCAATAACATGGTGATGATTTGATTTGATTGATTGGTGTTTAATGCCACTTTCAACACTATTGTGCTATTTAGTGGCAGTCAGTTTTTATTGGTGGAGGAAACCGGAGTGCCTGGAGAAAACCACTGACCTTCGGTAGGAAAACTGACAATCCTAGTCAATTGAAATTGGAGTTGACTTGAGTGTACCTGCCCCGTACGGGATTCCAGCTCACAACCTCAGTGTTGGCTAGTGATACAGTAGTTCAACTACTCAGACCACTCGGCCACCGAGGCCCCAACATGGTGATGAAAAAAACTCAGTATTTTCAGGAATGTTGTGGTGTAAAACCCAAATTAATCAGGAGCTTGGTGGTGAAATACCCAATTCCATCTTTGTTTTGGAATAAATGGGAATTGATGATGCAAAGGATAAAATATTTCACTCAACTACATAAAAAAAAAATGGTGGGTGAGAATGACAATGCGTAAATTCTTATCTGGAGCTCTATTACAGAAAAAAATCCCTTGTTGATTTTTCCTTTTAAGATTTTGATACAAAGTCATTTGATTTCCAGACAATAACTTGAGTATAAGTGTATGGATCCATATATCACAAAAGGAAGTTTGGATTGAATTTGGGGGTAACGGCTGTATCCGCTTAGGAATTAGGGGCCAAAAAGGAGTAAAAAACAAGCAATTTTTATACGACCGCAAAAATTAAAAATTTTTTGGTCATATATTGGTATGACGTTGGCATCGTTTTCGTCGTCGTCGTCTGGCGTCGTCCAGCGTCGTCCGAAGACACATTGGTTTTCGCACTCTAACTTTAGTTTAAGTGAATGGATCTCCGTGAAATTTTACCATAAGGTTTAATACCACAAAAGGAAGGTTGGGATTGATTTTGGGGGTTATGGTACCAACAGTTAAGGAATTAGGGGCCAAAAAGGGGCCAAAAATAAGCATTTTTTTAACTTCCAGACATAACTTGTGTGTTAGTGTATGGATCTCTCTGACATTGTACCACAAGGTTCCATATCACAAAGGGAATGCTTGGATTGATTTTGGGGGTAATTGCCTCAAAATTTTAGGAATTAGGGGCCAAAAAAGGGGCAAAAAACAAGCATTTTTCTAGTTTCATGATAATAACTTGTGTGTAAGTGTATGGATCTTTCTGAAATTGAACTACAAGGTTCCATATCACAAAGGGAAAGCTGGAATTGAGTTTGGGGGTAATTGCCCAAAACGTTTAGGAATAAGGGGCCAAAAAGGGGCCAAAAATAGCATTTTTCTAGTTTCCAGACAATTACTTGTGTTCAAATGTATGGATCTCTCTGAAATTGTACTGCAAGGTACCATACCAAAAAGGGAAGGCTGGGATTGATTTTGGGGGTAATTGCCTCAAAATTTTAGGAATTAGGGGCCAAAAAGGGGAAAAAAAACAAGCATTTTTCTAGTTTCAGGACAATAACTTGTGTTCAATGGTATGGATCTCTCTGAAATTGTACTGCAAGGTTCCATACCTCAAAGGGAAGGCTGGGATTGAGTTTGGGGGTGATGAATCATAAGGGGTTTCAAAAAATTTGGGGGGGGGATTTTTTTTTTTTTCCCTTTTTTTTCTTTTTTTCCTTTTTTTTTCTTTTAAAATTTTCCATTTTAAGTTGGCTATTTCTGATTTATATTTAAAAGCAAATAATAATGATATGGTAGGAGATACACACCAAACAGGATGTGTAAATTATTATATAATAAGTATTGTGCAATAGCAAGAAATTTTCAATTGCACAGTATTGCACAATAGCAAGAAATCTTCCATTGCACAGTATTGCGCAATAGCAAGAAATATCCAATAGCACAATATTGCGCAATAGCAAGAAATTGTCAATTGTAAAGTATTGCGTAATAGCAAGAAATATTCAATTGCACAGTATTGTGCAAAAGAAGATACTTCGTATAAATTGCTTATTTCTTGACCAATTTCAATGGGGTTTTATTCTTGAATTCTTGGGGTTCTTTAATGTGCTGAATCTAACCGTGTATTAAGTTTTTGGATTTTGGGCCCCGTTTTTAAATTGGTCCACATTGAGGTCCAAAGGGTCCAAAATTAAACTTTGTTTGATTTCATCAAAAATTGAATTATTGGGGTTCTTTGATATGCCGAATCTAACCGTGTATTTAGATTCTTAATTTTTGGTTCCGTTTTCAAATTGGTCTACATTAAGGTCCAAAGGGTCCAAAATTAAACTAAGTTTTATTTTAACAAAAATTGAATTCTTAGGGTTCTTTGATATGCTGAATCTAAACATGTATTTAGATTTTTTATTATGGGCCCAGTTTTCAAGTTGGTCCAAATCGGGGTCCAAAATTAAACTTTGTTTGATTTCAACAAAAATTGAATATATGGGGTTCTTTGATATGCTGAATCTAACCATGTATTTAGATTTTTGATTTTTGGGCCCCGTTATCAACTTTGTCCACATTGAGGTCAAAAGGGTCCTAAATTCAACTTTGTTTGATTTCATCAAAAATTGAATTCTTGGGGTTCTTTGATATGCTGAATCTAACCATGTATTTAGATTTTGGATATTGGACCATAATAGGTGAATGTCCAATTTAAAATTTTTAAGTTCTTAGACCACATTAATTCTGTGTCAGAAACCTATGCTGTGTCAAATATTTAATCACAATCCAAATTCAGAGCTGTATCAAGCTTGAATGTTGTATCCATACTTGCCCCAACTGTTCAGGGTTCGACCTCTGCGATCGTATCAAGCTGCGCCCTGCGGAGCATTTTATTTAAAGTTTGTTTGAAATGCTTATTTCTGACCAATTTCAATGGGGTTTAAATAATCTTGATATATTGGGGTTCTTTGATATGCTAACTTTAAACTCCCCCCCCCACTCCAAAATGAATCACTTAAATTTTGGTCCATACAAATAGGTTAAATAAATAATTCATGTAATTCAAAATAACGTTCTAACAATCACACATAAAACCAATAAACAATGAAAAATTACCTCCTCCATTACATCACATCAATTGTCTACTGCACTTTAAATAAGTCAAAACTCCCATTTTTTTTGACGATCAATGCTTTTGAATGGGGACATGTGGTTGTGTATACATGTGTATTTAATCACAATCCAAATTCACATCTGTATCAAGCTTGAAAGAAAGTGTCCATACTTGCCCCAACTGTTCAGGGTTCGACCTCTGCACTAGTATCAAGCAGCGACCCGAATAGCATTTTTATAATTGTTTATTATGTGTATACAGCTGTTAGTTCCCAGATTTTCCAAAGTTATATATTTCTTTTTATTTAGTTTTAGTATTATATTTTAATAAATAATTTTATTAGCACTGGTTCATTCACATTGAAAAAACAACACAAGGATACAGGTACATTTAACACAATATTGGATTATCTTGGGAGATGCAAGGTATACATCAGCGAGAAATCAAACATTTTGGTAATTTACATTAAATGGAATTAAAAGAGTCACATTCCTTTACAACTTAGTCAGGAGGAAAAGGTTAGGAGGTTTGTTGTTAAAAGAAAACTTTGGTTAATTCAGGATAAGACAGTTTATATTGTTTTGTATTTACAGTAACTTTTATATTGCCATAAGAGGCATTAGATTTAGCATTTCTCATTTAAAGAATTCATGCACTTCAAATTTTGTAAAACATAGCAAAATGGTTTGTAATTTCTTTTTTAGACTTAAAAGTGAAATTGAACTTCTAAAAATGAGCATGAATGAGAAGAAGTCAACAGACTTGGGGATTTGGTGGTCTGAAGGATTGTTATGACATAACTGGACTTGAGTTCAAACATGGCTTGTCTTACTGACAAGTACATTGAAGGTGAATGGATGTACATAGAGAATATTCATTTGGCGGAGCTATTGAAAAAGGGACTTGAAAAGGTATTATTTGTAAAGGTCTTTCCATTACGTGAGGAAAGACATTATTGTATTTCTAATGTTTTTTTTTTTCTTTTCTTCCGACTATTTTTTGACATGACCTCATCCCGTTTCTTTTGAAGTTATCAAGACCAAATTTGAACCATCGATAGACCTCATCATGAAGTATTACCAGATGACCCTGTGTAGGTGTTCATCATCCTCCTTTTGAAGTTATCTCCCTTTTATTGGTTTTTTTTTCGACATGGCCCCCCCCTCGTTGTTTTTGAAGATATCATTACCTTATTTGGACAATAAGTAGATCATGAAGTATTACCAGATGAGACTGCGTAAGATTTCATCATCCCCTTTGAGAGTTATATCCCCTTGAAACAATTTCTTTTATTTGCATTTTTCTTCAAAATTATTACAGATAAGATACTTGTCTTCTAAGGTAAGGTTGTATATCAAATGAAAGGTCATAATGTGTACATTTTAAATATCAAATTCCTGTCCCCCAAAAATGAGTTGGATGGGGTTATTAAATGCAAAAATCAAACTTTTTAGAAGATGGTGTTGTCACATATCAAATGAAAGGTTCTTTAGTCTACATTACAAATATCATACTTCTCTCGAAAATTTAGTGGATAGGGTCATTAAGCATGTTAAGTGTAAAATGTGAAAAGTTTAAGAAGGTATGCTTATCGCCTATCAAATCAATGGTCGTAAAAGCCTCTTGTTATTCATTTTTTTGTAAATTTTTTGAAAAACTTCATGGTAGGTTTGTTTGTTATTCTGTATAAATTAATTTTCAGAATGCTATATTTATATATATTTTTATGCCCCCACCATCACCAGAGGGGGCATTAAGTGTTACCCTAGTCTGTCCATCCATCTGTGCGTCCATATGCTGGTCTTGTTAGTGCTCTCACGTGTACAGTTCTTGTTAGATTTTTATGAAACTTATATCATAGGTTTATATTAGCAATGCCTTGGACGAGTTTGAAAATCAGTGCCAATCAATTATTTTTAAAAGAGTTATGCCCTTAGAAACATTAGTTATATGGAAAATTGCATCGTTAGTGCTCTCATGTGTACAATTCTTGCCAGATTTTTATGAAACTTATATAATAGGTTTATATAAGCAATGTCTTTGATGAGTTCGAAAATCAGTGCCAATCAATTATTTTTTAAAGAGTTATGTCCCTTGGAAATATTGATTATATGGAAAATTGCATTTTTATTGCAGTCGTATATTGGTATGACGGTGGCGTCGTCGTCGTTGTCCGAAGACACATTGGTTTTCGCACTCTAACTTTAGTTTAAGTGAATGGATCTGTATGAAATTTTACCATAAGGTTCAATACCACAAAAAGGAAGGTTGGGATTGATTTTGGGGGTTATGGTACCAACAGTTAAGGAATCAGGAGCCAAAAAGGGGCCAAAAATAAGCATTTTTGTAACTTCCAGACATAACTTGTGTGTTAGTGTATGGATATCTCTGACATTGTACCACAAGGTTCCATATCACAAAGGGAATGCTGGGATTGATTTTGGGGGTAATTACCTCAAAATTTTAGGAATTAGGGGACAAAAAAGGGTAAAAAAACAAGCATTTTTTTATGGACAAATACTTTAGTACAAAACATAATTTAAAGCAGTGTAAGGGAGATAAATCAAATACATCATATGAATTACCTCCCTTACACTGCTGTTAAATTATGTATAAAGTAATGGTTAATGAACAATTAAGACAATTTAAAACAGTGTAAGGGAGGTAATCCACATACAACGTTTTGATTACTTCCCTTACACTGCTTTTAAATTATGTTTAAAGAAATAGATATAAGAAGATGTGGTATGAGTGCCAATGAGACAACTCTCCATCCAAGTAAAAATTTATAAAAGTAAACCATTATAGGTCACAGTACGGTCTTCAACACGGAGCCTTGGCTCACACCGAACAGTAAGCTATAAAGGGCCCCAAAAAATTACTAGTGTAAAACCATTCAAACGGGAAAACCAACGGTCTAATCTATATAAAAAACGAGAAATGAGAAACACTTATGAACCACATCAACAAACGACAACTACTGAACATCAGATTCCTGACTTCGGACAGGTGCAAACAAATGCAGCGGGTTTAAACGTTTTAATGGTACCAAACCTTCACCCTTTTTCTGAAACAATAGTGTAACATCACAACATAGAAAGACACACTATAAAATATCAACTGAAATAGCTTAACTCAATCAAAGGACATATTAACACCATTGAACATACACTGAACAAATAAATTTGACCTATGACACAATGTAAATACAAAATAAATAAACTAAGGGAAGAATAAACAACCCATAATTAAAAAATATAAGGGCATACACCACAAGCACGGGGACACATTCTACTGCATTCACACAGCACGAGCAACAAACCCTGCAGTAAATAGATATAAGAAGATGTGGTATGAGTGCCAATGAGACAACTCTCCATCCAAGTAAAAATTTATAAAAGTAAACCATTATAGGTCACAGTACGGTCTTCAACACGGAGCCTTGGCTCACACCGAACAGTAAGCTATAAAGGGCCCCAAAAAATTACTAGTGTAAAACCATTCAAACGGGAAAACCAACGGTCTAATCTATATAAAAAACGAGAAATGAGAAACACTTATGAACCACATCAACAAACGACAACTACTGAACATCAGATTCCTGACTGCATATTTATAAAGGAAGACCAGTAAAAATATCTGCAAATGTTGCACCTTTTTTAGCTCACCTGACCTGAAAGGTCAAGTGAGCTTTTCTCATCACTTTGCGTCCGTCGTCCGTCGTCCTGCGTCCGTCGTCCGTCGTCCGTCGTCCGTAAACTTTTACAAAAATCTTCTCCTCTGAAACTACTGGGCCAAATTTAACCAAACTTGGCCACAATCATCATTGGGGTATCTAGTTTTAAAAATGTGTGGCGTGACCCGGTCAACCAACCAAGATGGCCGCCACGGCTAAAAATAGAACATAGGGGTAAAATGCAGTTTTTAGCTTATAACTCAAAAACCAAAGCATTAAGAGCAAATCTGACATGGGGTAAAATTGTTCATCAGGTCAAGATCTATCTGCCCTGAAATTTTCAGATGAATCGGACAACCCGTTATTGGGTTGCTGCCCCTGAATTGGTAATTTTAAGGAAATTTTGCTGTTTTTGGTTATTATCTTGAATATTATTATAGATAGAGATAAACTGTAAACAGCAATAATGTTCAGCAAAGTAAGATTTACAAATAAGTCAATATAACCGAAATGGTCAGTTGACCCCTTTAGGAGTAATTGCCCTTTATAGTCAATTTTTAACCATTTTTCGTAAATCTTAGTAATCTTTTACAAAAATCTTCTCCTCTGAAACAACTGGGCCAAATTAAACCAAACTTGGCCACAATCATCATTGGGGTATCTAGTTTAAAAAATGTGTGGCGTGACCCAGCCAACCAACCAAGATGGCCGCCACAGCTAAAAATAAAACATAGGGGTAAAATGCAGTTTTTGGCTTATAACTCAAAAACCAAAGCATTTAGAGCAAATCTGACACGAAGTAAAATTGTTTATCAGGTCAAGATCTATCTGCCCTGAAATTTTCAGATGAATCGAACAACCTGTTGTTGGGTTGCTGCCCCTGAATTGGTAATTTTAAGGAAATTTTGCTGTTTTTGGTTATTATCTTGAATATTATTATAGATAGAGATAAACTGTAAACAGCAATAATGTTCAGCAAAGTAAGATTAACAAATAAGTCAACATGACTGAAATGGTCAGTTGACCCCTTTAGGAGTTATTGCCCTTTATAGTCAATTTTTAACAATTTTTCGTAAATCTTAGTTATCTTTTACAAAAATCTTCTCCTCTGAAACTCCGTGGCCAAATTAAACCAAACTTGGCCACAATCATCATTTGGTTATCTAGTTTTAAAAATGTGTGGCGTGACCTGGTCAACCAACCAAGATGGCCGCCACGGCTAAAAATAGAACATAGGGGTAAAATTCAGTTTTTGGCTTTTAACTCAAAAACCAAAGCATTTAAAGCAAATCTGACATGAAGTAAAATTGTTTATCAGGTCAAGATCTATCTGCCCTGAAATTTTCAGATGAATCGGACAACCCGTTATTGGGTTGCTGCCCCTGAATTGGTAATTTTAAGGAAATTTTGCTGTTTTTGGTTATTATCTTGAATATTATTATAGATAGAGATAAACTGTAAACAGCAATAATGTTCAGCAAAGTAAGATTTACAAATAAGTCAATATAACCGAAATGGTCAGTTGACCCCTTTAGGAGTAATTGCCCTTTATAGTCAATTTTTAACCATTTTTCGTAAATCTTAGTAATCTTTTACAAAAATCTTCTCCTCTGAAACAACTGGGCCAAATTAAACCAAACTTGGCCACAATCATCATTTGGTTATCTAGTTTTGAAAATGTGTGGCGTGACCCGGTCAACCAACCAAGATGGCCGCCACGGCTAAAAATAGAACATAGGGGTAAAATGCAGTTTTTGGCTTTTAACTCAAAAACCAAAGCATTTAAAGCAAATCTGACATGAAGTAAAATTGTTTATCAGGTCAAGATCTATCTGCCCTGAAATTTTCAGATGAATCGGACAACCCGTTGTTGGGTTGCTGCCCCTGAATTGGTAATTTTAAGGAAATTTTGCTGTTTTTGGTTATTATCTTGAATATTATTATAGATAGAGATAAACTGTAAAAAACAATAAATGTCGGCAAAGTAAGATCTACAAATAAGTCAACATGACCGAAATTGTCAGTTGACCCCTTTAGGAGTTATTGCCCTTTATAGTCAATTTTTAACCATTTTTTCGTAAATCTTAGTAATCTTTTACAAAAATCTTCTCCTCTGAAACTACTGGGCCAAGTTAATTATAGATAGAGATAATTGTAAGCAGGAAAAATGTTCAGTAAATTAAGATGTACAAACACATCACCATCACCAAAACACAATTTTGTCATGAATCCATCTGCGTCCTTTGTTTAATATTCACATAGACCAAGGTGAGCGACACAGGCTCTTTAGAGCCTCTAGTTTTTTTTACAAAAAAATCCATAAAAAGAAATTGTGGAGGGTCAATTTTTTTTCTCATTTCAGATTTTAGAAATTTAAAAAGAATTATTCATCAAATATTTTTTTTTTTTCAAATTTCAAATATTGAAAAATTTCAAGAAGTAATCTTTAATTGCACAGTATGGCGCATTAGATTTGTAAAATCTTTGACCACATTTATCTATTTGTTATGCCAAATCTGACCGTGTATTTAGATTTTTAATTTTGGGTCCAGTTTTCAAATTGGTCTACATTAAGGTCCAAAGGGTCCAAAATTAAACTTAGTTTGATTTTAACAAAAATTGAATATATGAGGTTCTTTGATATGCTGAATCTAAACATGTATTTAGATTTTTGATTTTGGGCCCAGTTTTCAAGTTGGTCCAAATTGGGGTCCAAAATTAAACTTTGTTTGATTTCAACAAAAATTGAATATATGGGGTTCTCTGAAATGCTGAATCTAACCATGTATTTAGATTTTTTATTTGTGGGCCCCGCTATTAAATTGGTTCATATTGAGGTCAAAAAGGGTCCAAAAATAAACTTTGTTTGATTTCATCAAAAATTGAATTATTGGGGTTTTCTGATATGCCAAATCTAACCGTGTATTTAGATTTTTAATTTTGGGTCCAGTTTTCAAATTGGTCTACATTAAGGTCCAAAGGGTCCAAAATTAAACTTAGTTTGATTTTAACAAAAATTGAATATGTGGGGTTCTTTGATATGCTGAATCTAAACATGTATTTAGATTTTTGATTTTGGGCCCAGTTTTCAAGTTGGTCCAAATTGGGGTCCAAAATTAAACTTTGTTTGATTTCAACAAAAATTGAATATATGGGGTTCTTTGATATGCTGAATCTAACCATGTATTTTGATTTTTGGGCCCCGCTTTCAAATTGGTCCACATTGAGGTCAAAAGGGTCCAAAATTAAACTTTGTTTGATTTCATCAAAAATTGAATTCTTTGGATTCTTTGATATGCCGAATCTAACCATGTATTTAGATTTTGGATATTGGACCATAATAGGTAAATTAAAAATTTTTAAGTTCTTAGACCACATTCATTCTGTGTCAGAAACCTATGCTGTGTCAAATATTTAATCACAATCCAAATTCAGAGCTGTATCAAACTTGAATGTTGTGTCCATACTTGCCCCAACTGTTCAGAGTTCGACCTCTGCGGTCGTATCAAGCTGTGCCCAGCGGAGCATTTTATTTTTTAATACAATATCAAATTATGTCTCTTTTTCAATAATACAAATATTAAATCAAAATTACTTTAAAATAAATAATTATATATGAACTCAAATTATTTAATTAATTATGATAAATTTAACACTGAAACAGTTTATGTTATGCTTTTAAACATTCGTCCTTACTTCAAGTACTTTTAATACTTTTATTAATGACTTTATTACCTAAGGAGATCTCGCGAGGTTTAACTAGTGGCCGCATGTTTTTACGGGATTTAGTCGAGTTGCGAATCTCTTGTATTATATGTCTCTGATGTCAATAAAAATGGGGGATTTAATTTGAACCTGCGGAATCTCCTGTCCCCCTGGATCCGCCACTGACTAGAGTCTTAAAGTGTACAAACCTGACGTCAAATTATGTACTATAGAAGAAACAAATAACATCACATTACATCCAAAATTCAATTACTGTTACTTCACATTACCTTAATCCCCAAATTCAATTATATTGTGATGTCAATGGAAGAAGTTCCCACGCAAATGTCATGTGTTAAAAGGGATACACTAAAAAAGAATTTCAGGTGTATGTTAACATTTGCATTCCAATCAATTTACACAGTTCAATAAAATATATATGTTAACTATATTTATATAGGATTTGAATTTAGATACTTTATTAGAGAAATGATTTGTTTCTCGCAGACAACACTAAATAATATACATTAACTCGACTTTGAATCTGAACACCCCTAAAACAAAATGGTATATGCAATGGACCAAACAGATTTTCCTAATATTGATAAAGGTGAAATGCTTAGAATAAGAATTGTGCACACTGAAATAAGATCAGAGATAAGGCCCTATGTAAAGTGAAAACCAAATAAAAAACATATATAAAATTATTGTTTATTAAATTTTCTTGCATAATAACCTTGAAGTTGAAACTAAAAACTATTAGGTGTATCCTGTCAACCCCTGAAAAAAATAATACTGTCTCCTTGACTACTTCCGCGCGCCACGAACTTAGAAAATGATATATTGTGATAGTGTATGTTAACAAAATACACTTCCTGTGTGAATATATTTTTTGGAGAGGGGTTGTGATCTTAATTATTTGTCGCCATCTATGAGTCAAATTCACTTTTGTACTGAAATTACTGTCTTTTCAGATCGGTTTAACCACTAAGAGCAAATATTTTCAACTAAATTTGCAATGTTTTATTGAAATACATAGTTCATAGATTAAAAATTGAATTCTATAAAGGTCTTTGTGCAATAAGGTCATGATAATCTATATTGTTTGAAGCACATACACAGGGAATAAATGTAGATCACAACCTTTGCCCAAAGGGATACATACACAGGAAACGTGTTATGTAATTATATACGTGCTTGCAAATAATGATTTTGGGTGACTGCTCATGACCTTGTGGTGGTGGACTCTTGCATATAGTCCACTCTTCCCTCTTGCTTGCCTAAACAAACTCAGAGAATGACATTGCACTTTTATGCTAAAATCTTGCTAATCCCCTATAAAGTCAGTTTTTAGTGAAATGGCAAAATCACACAAAATGTTAACCATTTGACTCTCACATGCTTATAAATAATATAATGCACAACCAAAAAGATACTCACAGTTGCTTTGTAATTCAGCCAAAGTGTTCTTGAAACTAGCCTATTTAATTGCTTATTCCAATGTTGTATTTTAAGAGTCATAAAAGATTACAACACAATCATCATCAGCTTTCATATGGTACATTTTAGGTTTTATTGATTGACAGCAGATCATTTCTGGAATACAATACATCAAGAATCCAACAGTCAGTCAATGTCTGCTGCTCAAAATTAACAAAGCATAGGTTACAGCAAGACAAGGTTAGTACAAACAGAAAACAATCTAAAATAAGTCATTATTAGTATTGACTGTATGAAAAGGTAGAAAATGGTGGAAATCAATAAAAATTTCAATGAAAAATTTAGAAAAAAATTAACTTCTATATTGTTAGCAACTTAAATTTTGGTAAATGATACGTGTATATTAATACCACCTTAAATAATTAGGATTGATCACCCCAAACAGCTGTCAAATATTGCTACTTTAAAAAAAAAAAGAAAAATGACCAAAAATACTTTATGTTACACTATCTGACTATGTAATAAAATCTTAAAGACTTTTAATTTGCTATCAAACTCTGTTTATATTTTATGGCCCACCTTCCAGAATTATGATTGGTGGTCCCAAAAAATATCAAACAAGGCCACCACCTTCATTATTAAATAGAAAATTCAGTAGAAAAAACCTGTAAGTCAAAAAAAAAACAAAAAACGTGAGTTTACTGATCTCAACAGACAGATTTATAAGAGCTGGCCCTTACTTTTTTCACTGAAAATTTGGCAAATTATATTTTTACCTGTATTATTCTTGACAGCGGTGTTCTTTTCTTTTAACCGCTAGCTTAATGCCAAAAATCATAAATAATTATTGTGTCAAAACAAGTTAAAACATATCTGACTGACAAAAAACAACTTCTGCAATGGCCACTTTTCCGGAAATATAGGTAAATTCAATATCAGATCTGATTCCAGAGATGGATAAAGCCATATCCAGGTTTGCTGATAGAAAATTTCCAAAAAAGTTATGCTGACCAAATATTCCTATTTTTATTATAGAAAATTACAGTAAACACACATATATAACTTTTTTGGCCTAATGGATTTGTTGCATCAAAATTTTTGGGTCAATAAAAAACTTATGATCCACTGTTACAATTATAATTGATGACCCAATCTGTTATAAAAAATGGCCACCGTAATGTACAGTTTAAGTTTTTCAAAGATATTTCAGACGGCAGCTTGTCAGCTTGAAAAGGTAGAAGTTGAGGTCCTGGCAACCAAAATCAAGTTAATTTAAGACCCTGTCTTCAAAGAAGTTACTAAATTTGGGTAATTGGTTGGCAAACAGCTGACATTTACCTGACATGTAGACTAGTTCCTGACATGGTTCGTTCTTTTTAGTCCCCTACCGACGAAGTCGAAGGGGACTTTAGGTTTGCACTCTGTCCGTCTGTCAGTCTGTCCAACTGTCCATCCTTCAGTCAGGCAATTATCAGCTTTCCACACTTTTTTTCTTCATTCTTGAAGATATTGATTTGATATTTGGTATATAGTTTTATCATGACAAGTTATAGATCAAGTTCGAATTTTGTTCCGGTCTGATGATTTAGTCCAGAGTTATCATGGTCCATATCTAATATTAGAGTACTACATTTTGTATGTTAAACCATATTTCTGTACAAAGAGAGATAACTCATTTTTTTAAAGACATTCTTTGGTTAATTGTTTGAAGTGTTTTTTATTTTGTATAAACTAATTTTCTGAATGCTATATACATAAAAAAAAATCATGAAGTGAAAGATAATAATCTATTTTTATTAAGGTATATATTTCATTACATTCAATTGTGTATAGATAAAAGTTGTTGACATTTTATAGACAAGTTACAAATCTATTAGTTTGTGACAAATGAAAGAAAAAATATTTGGAACTATTAATATATTTGATTTTAACTTGAAAATAAATATACATTGCATTACATCATATCTAATTTTAGAGAACTATTAATCATATCTAATGTAAGAGTGTTTTCCACACTTTTTTTTCATCATGCTTGAAGATATTGATTGATAATTGGTATATAGTTTTATCATGACAAGTTACAGATCAAGTTCAAATTTTTGTTTCAGTCTGATAATTTTGTGCAGAGTTATGGTCCTTGGACTTGAAAAATTCACTCATACAATCAGTTTTCCACAGTTTTTAGTCATGCTTGAAGATATTGACTTGATATTTTCTTTTTGTTTACACCATGACAAGTTATAGAACAAGTTAGAATTTTGTTCCAGTACAATGAATTTTTACCCGGTAGGGGACTATGTATTGCCATGCAATACTCTCAGAATGCTTGTTGAAGTTGTTTCTCATGTTTTGCTGGTTTGCAACCTAATGATATTAAAGGGGCATTAGCTATGAAATATAGAAAAAAATAGAAATATGATTTTTTTTTTATCAATCATTAATGAAAGTGAAATAGTGAAATAAAAGTTCACTTTTTATTCATTTTTATTAGCCAGTTTTATTAACTAAATTTTCGAAAGAAAAATCGGTTATTGATTTGGGGATGTACGGCGAGCGGGCGGCTGCCAAAGAGTGTCCGTTCATTAACATGAAAACACTTTGACGAAATCTTTTCAAATTTAGATATGTTGTTTCCTGTCACTAAATGAAGGTCAATGTCAATTTTCACGATTTTAGCTGTTCTCGTTGTTGAGTTGTAGACCTTTCAGTAGCAAAAGTGATTCTTATTATATGATTTATTTATTTTGAGTTATTTCCCTTTGAACAGAAATGGTGTAATTAATAAGTATATGGATATATAGTCTATCAATGATTGTATCTGTTCAATTGATTTTATTTTGAGTTATTTCCCTTTGAACAGAAATGGTGTAATTAATAAGTATATGGATAGATAGTCTATCAATGATTGTATCTGTTCAATTGATTTTAGTCAGGAGTTGTCAAAAATTTCTTCATAACTATTTGTTTTAAAGTTGTTTGTTTTGAAGGTAGATGTCACAGTTGTTATATGGTATTTTCTTTTTGTTGTGTGTGTTAATTAAGGTCTTTCCTTTCTTAATGGAAAGACCTTACTGTTATTCGTTTGTTTATTATTATTATTATTATTATTATTATTCTTTTTCTTCCGCCGTTTTCAAAGTCGAAAGTCAAGAAAAGTACGCAACATATCAAAATGATCTTTGGTACCAAGTATCGGCTTAATAAAAGCTATCTTGTTTTAGGGGCACCAAAGTGTACTATTTACCTTATAGGAGTTATCTCCCAATTTACAAAAACCATTGTTATCGCTACTCTTCATAAACTATAAGAGATAGCGGCAAATGGTTTTTTTTTAAATGTTCCTTGCCAGATGTCGCAACTTCAAATAATTTTAACCGAAGCGATCCAGTGACTTCTTATAGGAGTTATTTCCCCTTGAATATTTTACTTTTCAATATGCATATGAATCTCATGAACCGTAAGTTGTAAAGACCTAGGGTCTTTTGATTTGTGATCATTGGACCATAACTTGAAAATATAGGTCAAGGTCAAAGGTCAAGGTCATGTAAAAAAGGCAAATTGTGTGTTTTTGGCACTATTTAAAGAGTTTTATGTGTGGTTTAGTGCTTTTGTAGGTTGACATTGACCTTTAACCTTACTACTTGTTAAGTGATCTCTCAAAAGATAAATCCCATGTGTTTAGATATAGTATTTAGGCTTTCTATTCCGTCTTTGCATGATCAAAGTGGATCCGTTCTCTGTGTTAACCAACCAACCAACCAACCAACCAACCAACCAATCAATCAATCAATCAATCAATCAATCAATCAATCAGTCAGTCAGTCAGTCAGTCAGTCAGTCAGTCAGTCAGTCAGTCAGTCAGTCAGTCAGTCAGTCAGTCAGTCAGTCAGTCAGTCAGTCAGTCAGTCAGTCAGTCAGTCAGTCAGTCAGTCAGTCAGTCAGTCAGTCAGTCAGTCAGTCAGTCAGTCAGTCAGTCAGTCAGTCAGTCAGTCAGTCAGTCAGTCAGTCAGTCAGTCAGTCAGTCAGTCAGTCAGTCAGTCAGTCAGTCAGTCAGTCAGTCAGTCAGTCAGTCAGTCAGTCAGTCATTGCATGCATGTTTCTGTCTCATGTGTTTAATATGGGGACCAAGATCTTATTTGTTTCTATTTCGATTGTTTAAAGAGACCATATCCCACGTGTCTAATTAATTGATCAATCAATCAATCAAGCAACCAACCAATCAATCAACCAACCAACCAACCAACCATTCAATCAATCATTGCATGCATACATGTTTCCGTCTCCTGTGTTTAATATGGGGTCCAAGATCTCATTTGTTTTTTTTTCCGCTTGTTTCAAGAGACCACCATATCCCACATGTTAAGTTTATTAACCAACCAACCAACCAACCAACCAACCAATTAATCAATAAACCAACAAACCAATCAACCAACCAACCAATCAATCATTCATTGTATGCATGTTTCCATCTCATGTGTTTAATATGGGGACCAAGATCTTATTTGTTTCTATTTCGATTGTTTAAAGAGACCATATCCCACGTGTCTAATTAATTGATCAATCAATCAATCAATCAATCAATCAATCAAGCAAGCAACCAATCAACCAATCAACCAACCAACCAACCAACCAACCATTCAATCAATCATTGCATGCATACATGTTTCCATCTCCTGTGTTTAATATGGGGTCCAAGATCTCATTTGTTTTTTTTTCCCGCTTGTTTCAAGAGACCCACCATATCCCACATGTTAAGTTTATTAACCAACCAACCAACCAACCAACCAACCAACCAATCAATAAACCAACAAAACAATCAACCAACCAATCAATCATTCATTGTATGCATGTTTCCGTCTTATGTGTTTAATACGGGGTCCAAGATCTCCTTTGTTTCTTTTTCGCTTGTTTCAAGAAACCCTATCCCACGTGTTTAATTAATCAATCAATCAATCAACCAACTAACCAATAAATAAATAAACAAACCAACCAACCAACCAACCAACCAAGCAATCATTCATTCATTCATTCATTGTGTGCATGTTTCCGTCTCATGTGTTTAGTACGGGGTCCAAGATTTCCTTTGTTTCTTTTTTCGCTTGTTTCAAGAGACCCTATCCCACGTGTTTAATCAACCAACCAACCAATCAACAAATCAATAAACCAACCAACCAACCAACCAACCAACCAACCAACCAACCAACCAATCAATCAATCAATCATTCATTCATTCATTCATT